TATATATATATATATATATATACATAATTACATTCATTTCTCAGCCACACGTTTTGTAGCTTCTGTCATTTAATTATTTGTTGCACAAAATTTCCAAATCCACAATGATGGTGAACAAAGGGCTTAAAAATCAGTGCATAGAAAAAAAGAACAATAAAAGAGAAAAACCTAAAGAAGCCAAAGTGGTGAAAATAAAGTTTGATTTGTTGCTGTCTGGGAGTGTGCAGTAGAAGGTGAGCTTATGGTGACTATGGGAAGACTGGGGGATGTGGCAAAGGTGTTCTCCATAGAAGGCGAAGATGAAAGACCAGCCTGAACTCTGCAGGCGGTTTGTTTGTCATATCTGGATGATGATACTGCAGAATCAGTGGAGCTTATTTGAAACAGTCAGCATCTCCTAAAACAGTCCATACATTTTAAACACTAAGCTAAGAGTTTTGCAAGAATATTTGCCAAAGCTGAAACAAATAATCAGATTAATTGATAATTGAAATAGTCGTCAACTAATTTAGTAATCGATTAATCATTAACTGGAGTATGGAGACTCTAAAATATGCCTATAGCTGACAGAGAGACCCACTTATAACAGGAATTATACCAAATAAAAAAAATATATAAACATTTTGCACTTAATGTTTTTTTTTCTTTCAATAGGCTTTATCCAGAACTCCTCAAGTGGAAAAGTAGTTTCACCTGGATTAAATCTGTGAAAGAATCATCTTGGAGGAAACTTTCGATTATTTATCGATTAATTGGAAAAACGTATCTACAGATTAATCGATTTGCAAAATAATTGTTAGTTGCAGCCCTAATATTTCCAGACGTTTGTTGTTTGCCCCTTTTCATCCAACATGGAGGTTTTATTAGCATCATATTTGTACTGGATCACCCGACTGTGTCCACATTTCCATCATCTGACACAAATTGTTTCTCATAGATTAAAAAAATCTGGTTAGGATGCTTAAAAAAAAACAAAGCAGAACCCACTAAGTTTGCTACTGTCTAGAAATGAAGGAACACCAGGTCTCCGTCTGAGCTGTTTGGACCTGATGACAGAACGATGTTCAGAGGAGTAACTGTGAGGCTTTCAAGCCCAAAAAAACAGCATTAACTCTCAGGCATGGTTTGGTAGAGTCATGCTGTGGGGCAGCTTATTTGCCAGTAGTGCTGGTGAAATTCTTAATTCTTGTTTTCTAAAATCACTGTGTTTTAAAGCTGCCTCATCTTTCGAATTTGGTAAAGATGATGCAAAGCATAAAATGAAGACACAGGAGAAAACATACAAATAAAAAGACTGAAATGAAGTAAGGATAGCAGCTACTCACCCACAGCTGGTCTCCAGCAGACTGTCCCCGACCTGCAGAGACGCCATGCCAAAGTCCGCTATCCTGATGTTGTTCTTCTCATCTAACAACAAGTTCTCAGGCTTCAAATCTCTGTGGCTGCAGGATGACAAGGAGACGGTGATCAGGAAGTAAAAACAGCTGCAACATCTGTGTCCCACTGCTGCATTAGCGACAAAGAAAAGGGCTGAAGAAATGAGCTGCGATAAATAATCTCAACTCTCTGCGCACCAACAATCCACCCAAACTGCCAGATGTTCTTCTTTCATCGACTGAAAGCGAAGCAAGAAGCAGCCTTTGACTAAGTCACAGCGAGTGCTGCAAGGCTGAGATTCTGCACAGAAGAACCTCTACCTAACTTTTCAGGCAGCTTGATGCCTGATAGCTTTAGCTGGTCGGTGAGCGATTCTTATTTATTAAAATTTATTTTAGCAGGTAGAGATTTACTGCTTCCAAAGCAAGGATGAAACTAATGGTTGACAGAAGGAACACGATTCTGAATGATGTTTAATTTCCCATTCTGACACTTTTCCTTATTTTTCTTGACGTCTCGTCTTCTTTCTTTCTTTTGTGCCTTATTTGGATGTGCTGCACCAAAGCTAAATTGCGCCAAGCTTCTCCTACAATTAGTCCCTGATCGACTGCTGTGTCAAAATGACAAAGAAAAGTTTAACTCGTTTCTTTAGCGATCACCGCTCCTCTGTCTGCATGCGGAGCTGCTGTTTGACACCTCAGTTCTATCTACACTGGAAAAAATCTAAATCTAGACAAGTCATTTTTTCTTAAAATAAGTGAATTTGTTCTTGGATTGAGGAGGTAAAAGATACACTTTGCCAATCGAAAAAGACTATTTACACTTAAAATAAGAAAACGCAATTGCATCGTCTTATTTCAAGTGCATATTTTCTAATTATCTTATTTTAAGAGTAAAAATACTAATTCCATTTGCAAGCTATCTCATTAACCTGCTCAAATTAAGGGTAAATACACTTAATTTAAAACATTTTTACTTATTTCTAAATCATTTTTCCAGTGTAGTAGCCTGAGGTGAGGGAAGAGCATTGAACGCTCTCACAGGGTGGATTCACCGCTGGACGCTTCACTGTGTGGTCTTTATAGGAATTCTAAGTTAATCCACCACGTTTCCCACAGCCACCGCGCCGTCCTGAATGCACCATGACGAGCACCACGCCAGCATCACAGGCATTGGTTCTCTGTTTGTATTCAAGCTTAAAAATATTGTATTCAAGCTCTTGCAGCAGCACAGACGTTCCCAGCACTAATGTCAACGTCCACAGCTGCATCCAGCCCACACTGGACCAGGTGACGAGCTTCACAGAAACGTAATACCACATCTGAAAAACAAAACAACTTCCTGGTAAAATGGGTTAAACCCTGGATGTTTGTCTTAGTATCTGGCTTAAGGAGAAAAACTAGCCTCAGTGGCGTCTTTGCTTTAAATGTTGTATTTTAAACAGCAAATGTGAAGCTCTGAAAGGTGACGCTTTATGCATCCGTCTGCTGTCATAGCTCTGTTTTCAGTTTTACAAATAGAAATTTTACTTCTGTTTACAGCAAAAGTTTAACTCTTCCAGGCATATTTTATACCCTTGGACCATAATGAAAGGAAGGAATTCTGCTATAATTAATGTTCATGTAGTTCATGTCAGGTTTCTAGTAGTTTTTCAAAGATTAAGGGTTTCTACAAAACCTAAATAAATATATCTTTAAATTAAGCTCATAATTTAAAACAATCAATACTGTATGTTAATTATAAAATATGTTTTCTATATGTATATAATGTTTATTTTATTTAATTACGGAGCAAAAACGTTATTTGAATTAAATAGGTTATTTTTTTTAATATGTTTTTCGATTAAGCTGTGATTGATTAATCATGGACCCTATAATGAATTCAATTAAATGTTTTAATCAAGTCTGACCACTAATTGAATCAGATTTGATCAGTTACTCATGAGTTACCGTACTTGAGTAGCCTTTGACCAAATACTGTTTTATTCCTGATCTTTTGCAGATCTATTTTTCAGTTCTGCTTTTCTAGAAACCATTAAAAACATGAATACAACTGAAGAAATAAGCAAATTTTCTTTTTCCACCTTTAAGAGGCTCTGAAAGATGTGCGTCTCTGATCTTTTCTTTTCTCACAGCTTTAAATAGATAAACCAAAGCCTTAGATTAGACTGACAGCTGCAGGGATGCAGTCTTTACTTGGATTAATTAACCCAAAGGCTCTTATTTTGAAATAAGAATATCGTCATTGGAAACCTTCAGCATAAAGTTCTGCTGCTGATCATAAACGTGGTAAACTTTAGTCCAGAACTGTGTCTCTGTGATTCATCTAAAAAAATAAATCTAATAATAACAGAGTGTGGAATAAAAGGAGTCCTTCAAAGCCAAACACTTGACGTGGGACGCTGAGAGTCAGGAGCAGAGTGTCTTTGATGTGCAATTGCTTTTAGATAGAGAGGGCTGCAGCCACGAGAGGAGGAACGATGAGAGGAGATCAAGAGGAGCCACTGCCCCCCCCGCTACCTGCTGATGAGGAGAGGAGACCAGCAAACACTTCATCTCAGCGCCATCATATTCTCAGAATATGGACCCGATGCTCCTATTTACTGTCAGAACCTCACAGAGGACCCAAATCTAAACAGAAAATCTTGGTTCTTTAAACATTGCTGCAGTCTTTTCTTGTTTTTTATTTTTTATTTTTGCCACTCGGAGGAAGCACCACAGCTGCGTCTGTAGTATCAATAGTTTGAATCCGGTTGGAGGTTCGGATTAAACAGGCAACCAGCGGGGTCAGGCAGCGGCCATAAATCAGATGCAGCAGTGTCTTTTCATGCATCTCTTAAGCCAATCAGGAACCATACAGGCTCCACTGGCTTGGTTCTGGTTTTCTATCAGATGAAGGCGCCGAAATGAGCAGATAAAACAAGAAACCCCAGAGTCTGGAGATACGAACCATATGGAGTGGCTGTGACAGAAGTCCAGAGCGGAGATGATCTGTCTGAAGAACTTTCTGGCTTCTTTAGGGGTCAGCCGGCCTTTCTTCACCAGGTAGTCGAACAGTTCACCTCCGGACACATGTTCTAGCACCAGGTACCTGGAGAGAAGGACAAAGACCTTATCAGATGGATCATTACCTAACGATTGACTGGTGTTACAGGGCGTGCAGCGACAGCTGTCCTAAAATATTCTCCAAATTTGTTTTGATATTTTTTGTAGGTTGATGAACTTTAAACTCATTTAAACGTATAAGCCTAATAAGCTTTCCTGGTTAATGATTGGCTGCTTCACTAAGGTGATCTGTAAAGGTCTATCCTGAAAATGCGTTTACACACACAGGACAAAACTCTAAATAGGCCACGACTAATGATCATTACCTATATATATATATATGCATTGGTGTAAAAATTATACATACATGTAATTGTACATGTATGCATATTTTTTAAATGCTGCTATAGGCTTAGACTGCTTGATGACATAGAAACCCTTTTTCATCATATCTCTATTCTCCCACTCTGCAGAATCTGTTAGTTCAATCTCTAACGTTCTGCTCTCTCTGCTTTTTCTCATAGCAGCTTCATCTGGTCTGTTCCTGTTTGGCTGTGACTCCATCCTGGAGAGAAATATCAGCTGTGCTGCTGCCATCAACACCTTTGTTTCTAGATGTTGGAGTTTAGCCTGTTTTTCCAGTGTAGTCCTGTTTCTCTGACTGTGACTAACTGGATGTGCTCTCTTCATCCTCTGACATGGGAGCTGGCTCGGAGCTCGTCTGCCTGGCTGTGTGTTTCCTGGACGGGGCCGCCTGTGGAGCTGGTTGACAGTTGCCTTTTGTATCTATGCTTCTTTTTCTATGTCTGCTTCTGTCTCCTTGAACCCCAGTGGGCCTCAGCAGATGGCCGCTCACACTGAGCCTGGTTCTGCTGGAGGTTTCTTCCTGTTTAAAGAGAGTTTTTCCTCTCCACTGTCGCTGCAAGCATGCTTAGTGTGAGGGATTGCTGAAGAGTCAATGAGTCGATGCAATCAGCTGGTTTTTCTTAGATAGAAAACTGAACCAATTTGACTGGATGATCTGGTTGAATTTTAAAGAGCCTTGACATGTGTTGTGAATGGGAAATAAACTGAATTAAAATCTAATAAAAAATGGATCAACTGATTAATAAATAAATGATAAAAGTGCTCATCAGATTAATCAAATCACTATAATAATCAATAGCTGCAAGTTTTACTGTCGAACTTCCAGATACTAATGGAGGGATTTATACTCCTGTTATTTCTTCTACAGCTTCGTTTACTTCACAGAATATTAAGAAGTTTTAAGACAATTTATTTACCTTAATTTCTATTGTTAGATATTTTTCAGTTATTTGCAATAACTTTTTGCCTTTTATTCTTGTTTATTTTGTCATTTTTTTGTTATGAGTCTTATTGAACAACAATCAGAGGCAGCTTTGCATAAATTAGCTAACAAAGAAATTGATCTGATTCATCTAATTGAAATTCTCATCTATATTTAAATTTCTTTAGATACAGTATATATCTTAAATGTTCAATTTTGAGGCTAAAACTGCAAAAATAATGCATGTTGCTAAAATCAGTAGGAAATGAAATAGATTTTCAAAGCTATGTTCTAATGAAAGACAGATTTAAATTTAGCATTTCCTATCTGCTCAGATTGTTTTATCGTCCATCTAACTGTAGGAGGCAGTGATCGAATAATTCAGTCATAAACTACTGGCCCTAACATACACTGATGTAGAACATAAATCTCACAAAATCCCCGACTTGTGCAGCTTTCGGTGTTTGCGGTTTAAAATGTTTCATCCATCTGCGGTGCCAATTTATCTTGGGAACATCTCTGATCCCTCCTCGTGCTTCCGGCGAGCTCGTCCCGTGGCCTCCACGTCCTCGCCGCCTGATTTATTAGCAAATTAGGAGAACCCGTTGAAGCGTTTACCTGTCAGGCCTGTTTAAATTAGAGTCGCAGCCGGCTGTGATTTGTGAGTGAGGGGGATTTCAGTTTGCATCCATGATGACCGTCCGTCCGTCGCCGTCCTCCCAACATTAAGAAAACAAATTCCAGCTCCATTTGACGGCGGCGGCTTTATCAATTATTGAGCAGAGCATTAAGCGTAGCCGCTGGAGCGCAGCTGCAACATGCACCAGATTAATGTGCTCAATAAAAGAAGGACAAGCAGGCAAGCTGCTGCTGAAGGTGGCAGTTTGGTGTGATGGAGACACGCGCAACAATTCATGCTCTAATGAGAAAACAAGCGAATAAACTGCTCCTCATGTAACAGTTAAACTCCTCATCTTCATCTTTATTAAACGCTCCTCACAGAAAGGACATTTTATCTGCACAATTCCATTACTGCTAAACATTAAATGATCATTGATCCTTTGAACTCTAAGGTTTGCAGATCTTTTATCACTTAGAGGCATTAAAAATCATTCCCACTAATTCTTCTCAAAAGTCTGAAACTTAACTGGTTAAGATAAACAAGGAGTTCAAACATGTTTTTCATTGGAACCAAGAGCAGCAAAGATGCAGATCAGATACAAACCATGACACTTCCCCCGCCATGCCTTACAGATAGCATAGCGATTTTAGATTGCGATTATCTCAACACTAACCGCTGCAAAGGTAAAATGCTGCAGTCAAACACCAGGTCATTTGGGACCCGACCCGTAGATCATTCATTACGCTAGGTTAACACCTGTCGTATTGAACAGGGTGTGGGGCGCACTTGTTCATCTCTACTGTCTTTAAATGGCCCTGAAGCTTCAAGCTGCACCATTTAGTGTAAATTTAATGATTTTAAAGAAATACGTTACTTCCTGGTGTACTTTTAAGGTGAAGTTTATTGGCCTGGTTCATGGGAAGGATCAAGGACTTCTTCTGATAATCACTATCAATTTATTCCAAATAAAATAACATTTAAATTATTTACATGAGTCAATTAATTGAGTGTTTTTTTTTTCTCTTTTCATAGTTTCTTATTAAAGTATTTGAACTGGTTGTTTTGTATTTATAATGTTGGAGTTGATCGTCTCTATTTTGATTTGTGATGATGCTGATTGGTTTGAATTAACATGTTTTCATTGGACGCCGGGGAGAGAGGTCTCTGTCTCTGCTAAGGCCAAGCTAAGCAAAGCTTCTGGTGGAGCTGAGCTCTTCTTAAAGGTTATGTTTAAAAGGGTTACGACCTAAATTTGGCTTTTTTTCACTGGTTTCTACAAGCATACTTGGTGTGAGGGATTGCTGGAGAGTCAATGAGTCGATGCAATCAGCTGGTTTTCCTTAGATAGAAAACGTTTCACCAAACTGAATGGAAGGTTTGTTAAATTGTCTTTATAAAGTGCCTTGAGATGACATGATGTGAAATAAAACTTAATTGAATTGAATTCTATTTCTAAGAGAATAATCAATAATTATTGATATTAACTTTCGTAGGGATGCATTTTTAAGCAATATTTCCCAGCACATGTCAGCCTGTTTTATAAACACCAACTCTAATATTCGGAATAGTTTAAGGGAAAAACTAAAAAAACATAACTCCATTTATATGTTCTGGCTTATATATAAAAAAGTAGCCATTACACAGAAAGAAGCATTTTTTTCTAGCCTTCCACATTTTTTTTTTTTGAAAATTAAAGACTAAAATAAATGGCTTGCGAGTCTTTTTTATTAAAAATATGTACAGAAAGCACCAATTTGTCATTTTTGATGATCTCGGAGCCCCAATGAGGGGCCTGAGGAACAACACGGGGCCCCGTAGCTGCATCTGCAGACCCCTCACAGCTAATGGTGAGCAAAAGGCTCATTCTCTGGTTTGACCATCAACCATTTCTCCAGCAGTCATTTAGTTGGTCTGTGAGGGCAGCTACAGAGGCCTAATGGTGTCTGCTGAGTGATCATGATGCTGGAAGTTTCTCTCTGCTGCCTAAAAATAATGATTTTCTTTGACAGCACTCATTGGAATGATCCACACCCAGACCTGCTAACTGAGTGAAGGTCTGAAGGAGAACTGTAGCTCGGCAGCATCTGGAAGAAGGGAAAGATGATTTCTACGCAAACTGTGTCTGAATGAAGGAACCACTGAGCCTTCTAGCAGCTCGGTTCTCCCTGGCCAGCTGGTTTGTTGAAGTTAAAGGTGGACGGCACCAATGAAGAAGTAAATGTGGGGCGGAGTTTGAGACTAGGGGTGTGAATAATAATCGTTTTGTATCGATGCATCGATCCAACAGCCGACGATCCGATGCATCGATACGTCCGCAAGAGAATCGATTCATGTTTTTTTTTCCCCTCCGGTCTATTTTTATCCATTTGCTCCTGGGCGTAATTCTCCCTCCCGTGCTGCGGTGGCGCTAAACCTATTTTGCCCTCCTACCGCGCTTCCTGGTTATACTCTTACAGCAGTGTGTTGCAGTGAGCTTGATGCAGACATTTTTAAATTATGCTCAATATTGAAGCGTGGTCTGTGCTACACGCTGTGGGTCTAGATACGGCCGAGGCGGCGAGGAAGAGGGGGCGACTTTAGTCCGACGACGGAGGGACATGAGGGCCAAAAAGAGCGGAGATCCAGGCGGTTGTTTTTTCCGCAATTTCGGTCTTAATAACAAAACAAGCCTGCCTCCTGTCTGCAGCGCTGTCTGCGGTCAGCTACAATTTGGGAGTGTCTGCTGAGGGGCGGGAACGTCTGGAGGTATTGAATTGCACTCATTGCACTGATTATGTGCAGTATTTTTCGATGCAAAGCCTTTCAGAATCTATAACGCAGGGATATTATTATTTGTCAGTGAAAGAGGTTTTCTACTTCTGTAATTTGCAGTTGTTTCTTAAAAAAAATGCATAACAATATTACAGCTTTCATTGATTTCACATTTGAAACATTGTCTAGGTGAGATTTGCACCCCTAGTTGAGACTGAGGAAGTCCTGTATCAGTCAACCTCAGGGTCACCCCCGTTGCTCTGTGGAGCCTTCTCTACCTGTCCTCAGCTCCATTCAGGCTGCTTGGCTCAAAGCTGACCCGTTCAGACTTGAATCCTAAATACGGTGGAATAAAGATGTTGGAGGGTAATGAAATTCTAAATGTAACTATTAGAAATGTGAAACATGGATGCTGAGAGTGGGTCAGTCTGTCAGAAACAATCAGGTAACCTTTGTCCCCGAGTCCAGAGATTATTTTCAGCATCAGCGTTTATTTTAAGAGGAGTAATTGTTCAAAGTGGATGTGAATTATCTTCTTCTCTGTGCTAACAAACTCAGCTCTGTTCCTCAGAGATCTGCTGGTTTCCTTTAATGGATGAAGTTTTTCATTAGGACCGATGTAGAATCGCTGTTAAGAGGCTTTTGTGTTTTTCTACTTTTCTAATTATCAGACTGTGAGGCTTGTTGACTGCAGCACCTGCAGGTTCAGTGAGGAGGAATAAAAAGATCCTGTAGGACTTGAACTACTAACAAAAGGTTTTTAATGGAATTCGATTCAATTCAAAAATACTTTATCAGAGAAATGATTCCAGTATTTTATCACTGAGTTGTTTTAGGTGTTAATATATGTAGGCAGGAAGCTGTCTGTACTTCACCGGAGCTGGAGACGCTTATGACTGAAGACACTCTGTAGGTGTTTAACAATCTGATGAAGCAGATGCTCACTGTTTTTAATACATATTACTTATCATCATTTTATGAGGAATTATGCTTGTAAAATCATCCCCAGAGGCTTTAGAGGAGTGTTTAACTTAAATCTCAAATCTAAACATTTTATCCAAACAGAAGTCTATAAACTGCAACTAACTGTGCAAATTTTTCATGTTATAAAATCATATTTCAGTATTTAAATTATTAGTAATAACTGAACACATATTTATATTGATGGATATCCTAAAAACATTGTAGTATCTTCATTATCTCTTGTTTTACAAAACAAAATCATTCTTCCAACAAGATGATCAGCAGCTGACAGCTTATCACAGGTAAGGTTTTTAGAAATGTACATTTTAAGGTCTGTAATAAACCTTAGATTTTCTAAATAAGATTCACTTTTACTGCATTAATTAATCAATAACGACTTTGATTGTTATAAACACAACAAAGAAAGAACTATAATTAGGACTCCAACTAATTATTATGAGTTTGTTTAGATGAATCGATTAATAATCTGATAAGAAAATGTTCCTTAAAGAAGATTTTTTACTAAATTAAGCCAGATGAAACCAACTTTTCCACTTGAGGAGTTCTGGATGGAGAATATTGATGAGAAAAAAAAAAGGTTTTTCATCTTGAATGCAACATTTTTCATGTTTTTTTATTTTTATTTTTTTATATTTTGGAATAATTCCTGCTCTAAGTGGGTCGCTCTGTCAGCTAAAGGCATGTTTTACACTCTATGTACTCAAGTAAACAATCAATTACTACATTAGTTGAAGACTATTTCAATATCCTATTAATCCGATTAATTATTTCAGCCCTAATGATAATATTGAAGCATTTAAATCAATACTGAATTTAATCGTGCCCCAAAGAATTGAGATGTTATTGAACAGTGAGGTTCCTAACAGAGCAGCATGTTCGCTGTCAAACACGCAGCTGGGAGCTCCGGGACCTTGGCAGCTCTTTCTACATCCAGCTGCCATATTCTCCCAGCGCATAGGTGGCCAGCTCGCTCACACGTCCAAACAAACTGGTGGGTCAGTCTAATATGGTGTGTTCCTCTGTGTTAGGACTGGATCAATAAACTGCAGAAAAATGACAGGAACTTACAGGTATTTCTTGTTTTCATAGACGTCGTGCAGTTTTAGAACGTGGGGATGCTCGATGAGTTTCAGAATGGCAATCTCCCGCTCCACCTGCAGAGAAAAACACAAACATGAATCAGTCACAAGCAGAGGTACTAATGTTTATTACTTCAGTAGAAGTAGAAAACCTACTGTTTAAAAACACTTTGGTAGAAGCTAGAAGATGCAGCGTCAGTGCCATGGGGGTCTCTGGGCCTTGTTAATAAAACTGTTAACAGATTGGAGGAAACTGTTCTTGTGGCGTGAGGTTCTGGTCCTGATGGACCGCAGCCTCCTGCCAGAAGGAAGTGACTAAAATAGATTGTGGCTGGGGTGCGAGGGATCAGCCAAAATCTTCCCTGCATGCCTCAGCGTCCTGGGATTCAAACCATGAGCTTAAATTAAACAAAACTAACAAGTTTATTTTTCAAATGAAAGGAGTAAAAGTAAAAAGTTGTCTAAAAATAATTATTAAATAAAAGTTATGGTTTAATGGACTCAGATTGGGACGGAGAAAATTCTGAACCACCAGAGAACCTGATGAAACCTGCAGCATCTTTGGGTTACATCATCAGTCAGAGATGGAGGAGATGCTTCACACCCATGTTGTTTTTGGTGGGGGGGCATCTGAAGCAGAAATTCCCCCTTTAACCCCCCCGCCGGTTCATTCGTAACAATCAATGATCTGTGAAGCTGTTGTGTTTAAAGTCTGACACTTTCAGTTTAACACTAATGTGCTGCAGCAACCAGCTGGTCACGCTCCAACAGTCAGAAACAAGAACATCTGCTTGTTGCAGCGACAGAAAATGGAAACGATTCCGGTTCCCAGCACGTCTCCTTCAGGCTGGAGGAGAGACAATAACGATTCACCTCAACCGCTTCGTGTTGACTAACAGCTCAAATTCACTGATTTAATAAACCAAGGAGGAACTCAGGTGGAAGCAAAGACAGAAAAATAAAAAACAAGCCTTTAATTAACAGATAAATGTATAATTTATTACAGAAACAAAAAGAATCAAAAGAAAGCAGATGTTTCTATTTTTGGTTTAACTTGAAATCTTGCTGTTGTCCAGAAATCTTCTAAAACCCAATTTTTCCAAATTCTTTGGTCAAAATTTAAAAAGTCTCCATCATAGATTATTTTACAGACATCCCTTCTGCTCCCAACACCAGGACAGAAAGGCATCAGCAATACCTCAGAGGAGCAACTGCCTCAGCCTGAGAGAGGTTATTTTGGATCTGAAACCTTTCTAAATAAAAAGCCATTTAAAATATTCTCATCAGTTTTCTGGACATATTGGTTGGTAACTGAAAACAAAAGGTTGCACACATACAGGTATAGAGAACAATCTATATCTACATCTAGATATACGGTAGTCTATTGTATAGATTTAGGCAATTTTGTTTCCTCAATCTATGAAATAGAGTAAATTTTATTGATGTTTGATCCAGCCATAGGAGAGAGGAATATCAACATTATACATAACTTGATTAAAACATCTGAAATATGTTTAAAACTAAAAAGGAACTCTTTAAAATAAAACCAGGATTTTAATTATGTCTTACCTAAATAAATAACAACATAAATCAATCTAATGTTATTTAATTCACTTTAAAGACAGTTAGCAGAGACAGAGACAGTCAGCAGTGAGTTTGAGTCTTGAGTCACTGCGGATCCAGACATTTGAATTGAGAAAGCTTCCTGGAGAGGTGGAGAAACGTTTTCAAATCTTGAAAACCAAGTCCAGTGGATATTTTTTGAATTTTTACGGAAAATATCTTGAAAACCAAGTCCAGTGGATATTTTTTGAATTTTTACGGAATGACTATGACCTGGATGACTGAGAACCTTCATCAGCATACAACCTTTGGAAAAGTTTCTCTTATGTTCCAGAGGAGTTTGAGAACGTGCCAATAACATAAGTTATAGAATTGAATAATACAGACTTAGAGCGTCAGTCTCCAGCTTATGATGCGGCTTTAAAGGCCTGATGAAGAAGCCTGCAACCCAGCAGCATCAATATTTGAATCTGTTTCCATTGGCTAGGTTAGAGAAAGAGGAAATCTATGTGACCCCCCCCCCCCGATGTCATTGATCCTCATCCTGTTAAAAGTAAATTTTTATGCCTCTTTATGAGGGGGGCAGATAAAATGTGAGTCGCCATCTCAGGTTGATGTGACATCTTGAAGAGGATGGATGGTCTAACAGGACAAGACCCCTGAAAATTCAATTTCCCTTCTATAAAATCTGCCGCTCTACGAAGCTCTGTCCCGGTGAGGAGGCGCTAGAAGCTGACAGCAAATAAAAAATGGAAGACATCCCTGACTGTTGCAGCAGGTCAGGAGGAAGAAACTCCACAGATATTCAAACGCTCTTCAAGGGCGCCAGTGGCGTTGGGTGTAGGGGTTTGAGCCCCAGGGCAGCTGTGGCTACAATGTACCTTTCCACCATCAGTGAATGGGTGAATAACTGAATCTAAAGCGCTTTGAAGTCTCCGGCTATACAAGTACAGGCCATTTACCATTCACTTTTTGGAACTAAAACACCAGACACTGAGAGTTTTTTTTTATTAGAAAAGGACATTTAGAACATTCCTTCATGCTGAACAGTTCACCTGAGAGTAGGTAAAGTGTTACTGAAACCTTCCTACGATAAACTGCTGCTGTGTTTGGAAAAAGATGTTTTTGAAATAACTGGAAGCTGGAGGACATAGGGAGCCCTTTTCATCATTCTGCTTCATTCTATCTCTATTCTCCCACTCTGCAGAATCTGTTAGTTCAATCTCTAACGTTCTGNTGAATTAAGTGGGCAGGATCTATTTTATAACAAAAAAAAGGATTATGTTTGATATTAGATCGAACTCCTGCTTTTTAATCCAGGGGAGATCTTCTCTATGAATGAAGGAGATCACAGCAGCAATCGCTGCTCACTGAAGGCAGCAAGCTCAGAGCAATTGGTGTTTCAGTGTTGTTGCCAAAAGTCTCCAACCACAAAGACAAAAAAAATAAACAGATAGTTGCATTTTTAATGGGTAACAAGGTCTGAAAAGTCTCAGCCACAGCCAAGGATAAGGGAGGACTGAAGCGGGTCATCTGGTCTGCAGAGAAGGTGATTGGCTGCAATCTTCCGTCTCTCCAGGTTTTATACGCCTCCAGGACTCTGAGGCTTGCTGGGAAGATTGTGGCTGATCCCTTACACCCAGCCACAAACTATGTCAGTCACTTCCCTTTGGCAGGAGGCTGCAGTCAATTAGGAGCCAAATCTCACACCACAAGAACAGTTTCTTCCCACCCGCTACCCGCCTTATAAACAAGGCCCAGAGACACCATCCCCACCAAGGGAAATTCCTTTTAAGTGCAAACCTATTTGGCAAATAACATGATACTGATTCTGACAAAGTGGCAAAGTTGCAAACAGTTGATTTGTGCCTAGCAGTGGTTGAGTTGGGCTCTAAACCAACCCTTCCTATCAAATGTAAGACCATCAGTCTGACAGCTGACGCCCAAACTGAGCCGTTAGCAGGACAGTGATCCATAACACAGAAAAATGGCTGAAAATGGAAAGAAGAGAATCCAAATGTTTCATCTTCCATCAAACCTTAACGTTAAAACGATAATTTGCTCAAAGACTCTGTTCTCTGATTTCTATTAAAAGTGCCTTCACAGAATAGTTTTACCCGCCTTAAATGAGCGGTCTTCCAGACGCTGCCTCGAGCAGAACTAACGCCACCTGCTGTTCTGTCCATTCGCTGCCTGCTGGCACCTGAGCCGGCCAGAGGCCACGCTGACTTTAGACCTCAGAGCTGCAGGAAACTAACTGACAGAGCAGATTCTGTCTCTAAATCATGTTACCACACACCTCCAGCTCTTGTTTATCATGAGGAAAATGTTCAGAAAAGACCAGAGCTGAGCAAGAAGAGGGAACCTACAAACCCAGACATGCAGCAAAAGCAAATCAGTCAGCAATGAACACGTAATCTTTGATTTTAATATTCATCAGCTACTGGAGGAATTAAAGTAGGTCTGAAACAATTAGATTAATCTATTATGGAAATAATTTAGTAATCGATTAATGGTTAACTGGAGAATAGTGACTGTAAAACCTGCCTTTAGCTGACAGAGTGACCCACTTAGCGTAAGAATTATACCAAGATAGTAAAAATATATAAACATTTTGCATTTAAGATAAAAAACATTTTCATCTGTCAATCTGTTCTACCCAGACATCCTTAAAGGAGAAGTTTTAGTTACACCTGGTTTAATTTCTTAAAAAAATCTTCCATTTTTTAGTTTAAAATCTGCCTATCTGATTATTAATCCCCAAAAAAATGACAAATTAATCGAGTTGCAAAATAATCGTTGCAGTCCTAGATTAAAGTCATGGCGTCACTGCAAAAAATGGAAATCTAAGTAAGTTATTTTTTCTTAAAGTAAGTGCATTTTTTCTCCAATTGAGGACAAAAGTGAGAGACTTTGCCAATGGAACAACACAATTTACATTTAAAATAAAAGAAAGCAATTGCATTATCTTATTTCATGTTCATATTATCTAATTATCTTATTTTAAGAGTAAAGATACTAATTTTATTGGCAAATCCCCATATTTACCTACTCAAATTAAGTGTAAATACACTTAATTTAAGAAATTCTTACTTATTTCTAGATAGTTTTTGCAGTGTTTGCAGGA